TCACACGGTGACTTAGCTGAGCAAGAATGGGCCTCCGGTCTCCTGAGTCCTCATCAAGTGGTTTCTAGTTATTGTGCTAATAACTTCTGAATTAAACCGGAAAACGGGAGAACAATTGTTTGGTTTAAAAGTCTCCTTTCTAAAGCTATGCAAGAAAACTTATAAAATATTTTACCTGCTGAATTTCGCTGTTTTTGTCAAGTAGCATGATCTGCACAAATATTATGTGAGAACCACTGGACTGTTTAAAGCAAAACATCACGAAGTTGCTATCTAGGTGTGCTCAGAAGTGGCAGAGGGCATGCTCAGTGTGTTACCAGTATGAGAAAGTTGACATGTCGACCAGGTTCTTGAAGCTCCTTTGGAGAAGACAGAAGAACACAACAAAATAGAAACAAATGTGTTTGCTCACATCCTGAGGACTTCGATATGAGCTCTAGATTTAGGAGTAAGAAGTCTATTGAAAGAATGGTCTTTGTCTTTTCATCTCCTGGTCTGTATTCAACTTGTATTTGGCATTACTGTGTTAGTGGGCTTAAGTGTGATTTAACATTAAAGCTGGGGTTTCCTCATTGCTTATGCTTCTGCCTCTTAAGTTGTTGTTGAAAAGTATGCTAAATCTGACAATAAGTTGTGTATCATTTAAGTTCATCTAGATGAGTTACCTTTTGAGGTCACCTTCTGCAATGATTTGGAAAACAGTGTTCCAAGTATATTTTTTTGTTTGTTAACTTGATAAAGGCTCAGTGAACCCTAAGTGACTTCTCATTTATAACAAAGTCTAGTTTGTCACTAATTGAATACATGGCTACTTTAATTATTTTGTTACGGCTAATTGATATTCACAGTCATCATGTTCTGTAGCTTTTAAATGTAATATCACCTTACAAGTTTATGGTTCAATCCCCTTGGATATTTCAGTTCTCTGTTTAATGTCAACATATAATTTTATTAGGTTCCTACATATTGTCCCTACTATGTAATTCTGACAAGGAATAAAGCACTTTCCCCAGCTCTTGTTTGCCTATGTGAATTGTAAGATGATTGATGGATGGATGGATGGATGGATAGATAGATAGATAGATAGATAGATAGATAGATAGATATTTTGTCTACCACAGATTATCCATATCATTGTGAAAGGTTGAATCTTTTCTAGTCCATTATATTTGTGTTGAGATTTGTTGTAAGATTTAGAATGACAGGAAATGAGTTACAAGGATTTTCTATTTATATTGACTTACAATTCTTGCCTTTTTTCAATCCTAGTAATCTCTGGCTTCATAATATGCCATAGAAAATTGAGCTGGTTCCTGTATTATTTTCTACCTGGAGCTATTAAAATTGAACCCTGACATTTCAAGGAACTTTTCCATAGCACAAAATCTTAACGCCTTTTGTGGTGAGTGAAGTAACAGTACTATCGATACTTCTGAGCTAAGAGATTGTGATGTCACCGGGTTCCAAATGTCATAGACCCAGAGGGAGAGATACCTCAGTCCTCAGGAGCAGCCAGGCCTAAGGGAGCTGAGCCACTATGTCAAAACATTTTGTTTGTGAAGATTTTCCTCAGACTGTATGGAAGAAGGTAAAGTTCTACCAGCACAATATGCCATATCCGTAGTCCAAGTTTTTGTTTTGTTTTTTTCCTGTTGACCTTTCTATATCTTGTTGTAAGCACTTTCAAGGACATTTTCAAAACCCGTCCTCTGCCTCTTTGAGGCATATCTGCTTCTTGAAAAAAGAAAGCACAGGCAAAGATAAGTGGATTTTAAAATAAAAATGTAAAACTAACAGTGAATGAAGAGAGGAGGTTGATAGGTATACAAACTTGTCAATCCTTTCTGAAAAGAGGCAAGTCTTCAAGGAAGGAAATCCACGCATACTTCATTATGAATCTAGCTGCCAACAAGTCTATGTTCTTAAAGTACACTTCATTTTTTATTTTATTTTTTATTTTTTTCTCTGGCATATGGAACTTTGTAGTTTTCCATCATGACTCATGTAAACTCTTTCTGCCATGGTTTCACGCTCAGTCGTTTCACCCCAAATCTACAGGATCTGAAAACTAAATCAGGGCACATTTTGTGAGGTGGGAGGAATAGCACACAGGAGTTGGGGAAACCTTTGTATTCATTTTTCCTAAGACATGATTCGACTAGAACAGTAAATGATGTTGTGATGCTGCTTGTTCACTCCCAGTGATTCTGTATCTGTTAGACTTGCACATAGACGTTTTCTCTCCTTGCACTTGGTGCTCTGCTTTTCCTTGGCTTGACTGTGACTCTCCATCCTTGGCAGTTATTAGCTTAGTCAATGTATTCTAGGCTTATTTAAGTTTTAGGATTCATATTGTGTGACTTTCGCTCCCAGCATCACATTAACTGTTTCAAAGCAATGTGCCATTAAAGTGTTGTGGCCATGTCTCTCTGCTTTGTTGTTCTCTGCAGTGATTTCAGACTATTGATTCTGCCGGCCATCTAGGGAAAGATTTATGATGTTAGACTGTGGTTGGGTGTTTTCAGGTCTTTGGAAGTAGTTCTTCTTTAGTGGGCATATCTGATCTTTGGAAGTAGTTCTTCTTTAGTGGGCATATCATATATTGTGTTGCATTCAAGTTTCAGGGATTACATTTGGAATTGTAAATGAGTGTGCTTTATTTAGGTTGCAATCAGCCCCTCAAAATTAAATTTCTTAGTTGTTGTAACCCTCAGTAAGCTCCAATAATACTGAAGTGTTGAATTTTAAAATAATCTCACTGCGCATCTGTACACGAACAAAAGAAACACTTAGTGCGAGTGTTTTAAGAACCGTGGTGGGTAATGCATACATTGAATGGGAGAGAGAATCAAGTGTTAATGCATTAAGGACTTAGTAGGTAAAATAATTTCCATGCTGTAAATAACTCTTCAAACTATTGCAACAATTTTTTTTTTCTTTGTCAATGTGGTTACTTAAGAGCTCACCCTCTCAGCTTCATATGTTTTCATCTGTCAGGAATAAATGTATGTGATATTAATGTTTAAAATAGTTTTATGATTGTAGAAGTAATGATTGTTCATTATAGAAAATTTGGAAAGTGGAAAATAGTCCAAATAAGAAAAATATCCCACTATGCATACCACATCATAGCATACTTTAACATCATAACATACTTTAGATTTTTTCCATGTTTATATAACTAGACACTCAACTCTCTCTCTCCCTCCCTTTTGCCTCCTAACTCCTGTTTCTTAGCCAAAATTAAGAACTTACTATACATGCTATTTTATAACCTGTTTTTACCCCATATAATATTTTGAGTAAAAAAAAATTCAATTATTCTATTAAAACATTATTTTTAGTGGCTTTCAATGTTTGATCGTTATGGCTGGACTAAAATATTTATAATCAATATCCTGTTGTTTGACCAAATCTTACTTACTCACACCTCTGTCATTCCCACTGTTTTGCTGCTGAAAATAATGCTGGCTGCATTTTCTTAGAAGTAAATCCTTGTGTGCTTTTCTTGGTATTTCCTAGGATTAAATGACTAGAAGTAAAATTGGCCAAGTGAAAAGCAGGTTGACAGTAATAAAGATACATACACACATATATTCATATATTTATATGTAGATATTTTAGTATGCTTTATTTGTATTCATTATGTAGTGAAATTCATTCTTTACAATATTAGTTCTACAATTTTTCCACCACCATAATCAAGAAACAAAATAGTTCTCTCATGTCAAAAAATTGCCTCCTGAGTTCCAAGTGTGTTTATTTGTTATTTAGAATATATAAAGAAGCAACATGAAGTGGAAACCACACTGCGATAACCTTTGTTGATGTTTTTGTTGGTCTTTTTCCCCTCTACCCTACAGAGAGAGAGAGAGAGAGAGAGAGAGAGACAGAGAGAGAGAGAGAGTGAGAGAGAGAGAGAGAGAGAGAGAGAGAGAGAGAGCTATCTTTTCTGTTTGTGGTGTTTTTTGTTTTTTACTTAGTATATTTGGAGTTTATTTATATTTAATAATTAAAGTGGGTTTTGTTTTTGTTTCTTTGCAATTCTAAATAACCCAGTTATCTATGTCTCTGAATATTGCTATAATTACTTAAGAGTTCTAAAAATAGTGTTTAGATATCAATAAATGTATATACTTTAAGTCTTATTAGACTATCAAATTGATTTGAAAAGTAGCTATACCAGTTTACATTCTGACCAACTCTAGTTTTCTATATCCTTATTAATATTATTTTACATTTTTGTAAGTTCGATAGATGAATAATGGCATTTTTTTTTTTAATTTTCATTCTTTGACTTCCTCTGGGGTTTAGTATTTTTTTTTTTCCATATGTTTATTTTTTGTACTTTTGTGTGTGATTTACCAGTCTATGTCATTTGTGGGTGGGGCAGAGGGCTTATTTTTTAAGTGCTGTATATATTAGTAACATTAACTCTTACATCTACATGTTGGAATATCTTTTCCTCTTTTTCTCATTTGCTTTTTATTTGGTTTAATGATTTCTACATTTTATGGAGAATTTTATAGTAAGTCCATTTGTTTGCATTCGCTTTATTTTTTGGCGTGTCTGTTGAATTTAGAGAGGTCTTTTTTCTCTATAGATCATATATGTAGTCGTGCACATTTTCTTCACACTTAACTTTGGTAAAGTTTTCCATTTATTTTTTCCTCCTATGTTCCTGCCTGATAGCAGGCTTTTATTGTGTTGTACCAAGGAACTATAGATTATGTACTTACATGTTAATGTACTTATCAAATCTTAATATTGTATTTGTTTTTTTAATCATATGCTTTTACATAGCATGATCTTTTCACTGAAATCTTCTATTTAAAATAATAGCCTAGTCACATTTAAGCAAGTTAAGCAAAGCCCTCTTTTCCCACTATTGCCTTCTTTGATTTGCATTTAGGTAGATATTATGCATTGGCTTTCTTTCTGACATTTGGAAACAGCATACTTACATTGCTAAATAATTATTTGTTTTTAACATGCTGCAGGACATTGAAGTCAAAGTAAGTAGCAAAACAATGATCTACAAATGTGCAAATGGGTTCTCTTAAACTGAACAGAGTGGAAGTCACCTTTATAGGAGTTGAGCCAGGTGATACTTGATCACCTTGCCAAAAAAAGAAAAAAAAAAGAAAAAAGTGTGTGGCCCAAGAATGGGAATGCCAGAATATATCCTTTCATAATTTCTTAAAGTTCCTGGTCAAGTGTATATTCAGCATTCACAGAACTAAAAATATATTTAAAACTTTCCTAACTTGAGGTAATATAGGGAATTGATATGGAAAAAGGTCACTTAAACATAATGATCAAGATACAAACAATTGTTTAAAAAAAAATGCATATTTTGCTAATCTAGAAAAACATAAATAACTATCTTTGTCATGATTTTCAAGAATAAAAAATAGCTTATTGTGTTTTTATTTTGTAAAAAAGACCATAAATTTAGATGTGGGAAAAATATTTTTAATTAACTGCATTATTTTTATTATTATTGATTTTTAATTATTCACATAAACATTTATAGTACTTTTTGGTCCTCTCTCTAAAGATAGCTGCTTCATAAAAAAGGAAGTAGACCAATACACGTAATTTATATTCAGGTTTCACTAAGTAATTTAAGGGTTCACAATTACAAAGTTTATGTATACAGTGTCGCATAGGCATTTTTTTATTGTTTAAGAAAGGCTAATAATCATCTATCTTATGCCCAGATTAAAATCAAAGTTTTATTGTGTAAAAATATTAATGCTTGAAATTACTCTACAAAAGAGAAGTTAAATAAAAACTGTCTTTGCTGTATTATGATGCATTTGGACAAAGTAGGACACAGCTGTTACAGTAAAAAGAAAAAGAAAAAAACCATGCAGACTCATTCTTTACATTTAAATACAGCAATCATCATCCTATTAATGTTTTTCTATGGCAGAGACCTAATAGTTTGAAGAAATCTTCTACTTTGTGCACTTATTTCCAATGTAATTTATACTTGACTTTTGCTTTGCTGTTGCTTTTTTCCTAATATAGTATATTCTTCATTTCTTTTTATAGGCAAGGCTGCTGGAAGAGAAAGATCGAGTGATAAAGAGGCAAGATGCATTCTACAAAGAACAGCTGGCTAGACTGGAGGAAAGGGTATGACTATTTCTTGTCATTGATTCTTCTATTACCACATATGCAGCTTTCCCGGATATTTATTTGAAAATCAAAAAATGAAAACTGTTACTGTTTTTCCTAGTTAAAAAGTGACCAGGAAGTGAAGAAGCCAAGCAGGAAATGTCATTTTTACCGTGATAGTTTTGAGTATGGTGGTGTTATTGGTCCATTGATGCATTTTACCACTCATAAACCTCCCTGAGATATTTTTCCTTAAATGCTTAGAAAGTGCACTGCCTCTAGGTTACACAGTAGAGTGCTACTCATCATCATTATTTTTATTATTCATAGTTTCTTTCTTTTTTTCATTAAAATTTTTAGTAAATTTATTGGGGTGACATTGGTTAATAAAATTATATAGATTTCAAGTGTGTAATTCTGTAATCGTTACTCTGAACTCTCCCAAATTTTTGACTAAACTTGAGTTCATTCTTAGAAATTATAGTTTTTAATGGATATATTATCTCTGTGAAAACTCAGTTTCACTGCATTTGTGACTAAGAAACGAATATCCCTTTCAAGAGTGGTAGACAGGAGCTCCACCGAAGAGTAATTTCAAGCATTAAAATTTTCAAAGGAGATGAATTGTAGGACTTAGGGAGAAGAGTTAGGAGGAAGAGTTGAGGTGGTACCTGTAGTCAGAATGGACTTTGAATTGACAGATTTGCAAAGGAGGGAATTAAGGCTGAACCAGAAGGTAAGAATGGGACTCCGGGCATGTAACCAGTGGCCCTGTGCAGTGAAGTAGATTTGCTTGTAATTTCATACAGAGACCATGATGTTACCGAGTTAGCTTTCTCTCCCTTTGATTGAGACCCCAGCATTGGATTTGTTTAGAATATAGTGTTTACTAATAAGTGGGTAAAATAAGAAATGTATTATTAAACCCCATTCAGTACAATGATTTATATGCTGAAGATGTTCACCCATCTCTGTATGTCACTGAGCTCAGTGCTTCCTGAATGTAGGGACCGATTTCTCGTTCATTCAGCAGATACTTAAGTACCTGATGTGCCAAGCCCTGGTCTAATGCCAGAGATATATTATTGAAGAAAATGAACTAAACTTCTACCCTCAGGAAGCCTAAATACAATGAAAACCTGATATATATATATATATATATATATATATATATATATATATATATATATATATATAAAAATATATATATCATGTGGGAAACAGATTATGTGGTGAACAATAAAGCAAGGGAAAGATTGACTCAAGGCCTAAGAGTATGGGTTCAGGTTGGATGGAGGGGAGAGCCTGTATAAAAATAGGATGGCATTGGGAAGAGGTCTGCACAGATTGGGAGCCCCAGAATCCTGGAGCAGGAGTGTGGTTGGCATGTTTAGAAAGGCCAAAGGGTTTTGAGCAGAAGAGTATTCTGGCTGCTGTCTTGAGCAAGAAATGAAGCAAAAGTCCTAGGAAGAAATTATGACAGTGACTCAGAGAAGGGATGATGGTGGCTTGGGCCAAGGGTTCTGGGCAGTGGAAGGAAGGAAATGTGTTTGGGTATTTCAGAGGCACAGTTGACCAGATTTGCTGATGGCTTTGGTCATGATTGAAAGAAAGAACTCAAAGGTACTCTAGGTCTCTGCTTTTTACATAGGATGTAAATTTACATAGGATGGATCTTTATATAGGATGGATTTTCCACAGGAGAAGGCTTAAAATATGATTCTGGGTCTGTGTGGTGGAGGAAATCAGGTGTTTTATTTGGGATATGTTAAACGTGGGATATTTTTTAAGACATCCAATTAGAGATGTTAAGTAAGCATAAAATGGAATGCCTTAGAGCGGAAGTCAGCACATTTTTCTCTAAAGGGCCAGATAGTAACTATTTTCAGCTTTGCAGACCGTGTGTTGTTTGTGTCATAGCCCTCAGCTCTATCATTGTAAGAGCAGCATAGCCAATATGTCTGTGAACAAATGTGACAAGGTTTCCTTTTATTGAAGTTTGAGATACTCTTCTTTTGACAGCCCCTTCCCCCCAAGCATCTAAAAATGTAAACCCTTTTTTTTATTGTTTAAAGTATTACAAATAGTAGTGTGTATGTCTCCTTTTTTTCCCCATTGACCTTCCCCCAGCCTCCACTACCCCCGACACATCCCCACCCACACCCCCAGTGTCTTGCGCCCATTGGTTATGCTTATATGCATGCATACAAATCCTGCAGTTGATATCTTACCTCCCCAGCCTTCCTGCTGTAATTTGACAGTCTGCCTCTGTATCTATCATATAATAAGGTTATAATGTTCTTTACTATTCATAAATGAGTAAGATCATGTATTTTTCTTTCACTGCCTGGCTTATTTAACTTAGTATAACGCTTTCCAGTTCCATCCATGCTGCTTCAAATGGTAGGGATTCCTTCTTTTTTATAGCAGCGTAGTATTCCATTGTAGAAGTACCGTATTCTAATTCACTCATTTGCTGATGGGCATGTAGGCTGTGTCCAAATCTTAGCTATTGTAAATTGTGCTGCTATGGACATAGGGGTGCATATATCCTTTCTGATTGGTATTTCTAGTTTCTTGGAATATTGTCTTGGAAGTGGTATTATTAAGTCAAATGGAAGTTCCATTTTTAAATTTTTGAGGAAACTCCATACTGTTTTCCACAATGGCTGTACCAGTCTGCATTCCCACCAGCAGAGAACGAGGATTCCTTTTTCTCTGCATCCTTGCCAGCACTTGTCATTTGATTTGTTGAAGATAGCCATTCTGACAGTTGTGAGATGGTACCTCATTGTTGTTTTGATTTGCATCTCAGCTGATTAGTGACTTTGAGCATGTTTTTATATATCACTTGACTTTCTGAATGTCCTCTTTCGAAAAGTATCTAGTTAGGTCCTTTGCCCATTTTTATTTTTATTGTTTTTCTTCCTTTTGTTAAGTTGTATGAGTTTTCTGTAAATGTTGGATATTACATCCTTATCGGAGATAACAATGGAAAATATATTCCCCCATGCAGTGAGCTTTCTTGTTGTTTTTTTTGTTTTGTTTTGTTTTGTTTTGTTTTTTGCTGTGCATAAGCTATTTATTTTGATGTAGTCCTATTTGTTTATTTTCTTCTTAGTCTCTCTTGCCCTAGGAGCTGTGTCTGTAGAGATGTTGCTACAACATGTCTGCAATTTTGCTGCCTATGGAGTCTTGTAGGATTTTTATAGTTTCCCATCTTATGTTCAAGTCCTTTAGCCATTTTGAGTTTGTTTTTATGTATGGTGTAATTTGGTGCTCTAGTTTTCTTTTTTTGCATGTATCTGACCAAATTTCCCTCCTTCAGTTCCTATTTCTTCTTTTAACAGCAGATCCTTTAGCATTTATTCCATTTGGTGGTAATAAACTCCCTTGGTCCTGTTTTTTCTGTGAAGCTCCTCATTTCACCCTCAATTTTGTTTGATAACCTAGCTGTGTACAGAATGTATGACTTGGATTCAGAATGTATGACTTTGTATATTTCATTATATTCTCTTCTGGTCTGATGTATTTCTGTTGAGAAATCAGTCACTAGTCTGATGGGGGATCCTTTTTAGGTAACTTTCTGTTTCTCTCTGGCCACTTTTAAGATTCTAATTTTGTTATTGGTGTTTGCCAATTTAATTATAATGTGCCTTGGCACTGGTATTTTGGGGGTTCATTTTGTTTGGGACTCTGAGCTTCCTGGACTTGTGTGAGTTTTTTCTTCTTAATATCAGGGAAATTTTCTGTCATTATTTCTTTAAACAGGTTTTCTATTTCTTGCTCAGTTTCCTCTACTTCCGGCACTCATATTATTCTTCGGATGTTGTTTTGTTACATGGTATCCCAAAGTTCCCTTAGGCTCTCCTCCTGTTTTTTTTAAGGGTTTTTGTTTTTTGTTTTCTTTGTTTTGTTTTGTTTTTTGCTGCTCTGCTTGGGTGTTTTTTCCTACCTTGTCTTCTAGCTCACTGATATGATCCTCCACTTCTTCTAGTCTGCTGTCAATGGTTTCTATTGAGTTCTTTATTGCAGTGATGTCATTTTTTTTTCTTGTTGTTTCTTTATATTCTCTTGGTTCTTACACATATTGTTGAATTTGTCTTCCAATCTTTTCAGCGACCTTATGACCATTTCTTTGAATTCTTTCTCTGACATTTAGCTTGCCTCCATTCCGTTTACTTCCTTTTCTGGTGTTGGCTCCTTTTGTTTCTTTGTCTTACCATGATCTCTCCTCTCTGGGTGTCTGGTTATGTAGCTCACTCTCTCCTGCATTGACTTCAGGGCACAAAATACAATAGCAACAAGGCGTAGTGCACAAAGCACTGAACACAAATGTATTCACAATACTAATAACCCCTAATAAAGGTGATAAAAAAAGGGGGATAAAAAAGAGCAAGAGAGTTCAAACATGATATTGAGGAAAGGAAAAAAGTAATAGAGAAAGAAAGAATAAAAACGAAGGGAAAAAACTATTTATATGGGGAGAAAACTCAATAGAACAACAACTAATCCAAAAAAAATGCAAACAACTAACACCCAGAGATGAATGCAAACTACAAACAACAACTAATAGCAAGTGAGGAGAGGAAAAACAGAAGGGGAGAGAGAGAGGAGAGAGAGAGAGGGGGGGGGGAACTAATCAACAAACAAGCAACAGCAATAGGATAGAGAAAAAGAAGGGCAAAACCAAACAAAATAAAAACAAAAAACATAAAAATAAAATAAAACAAAACAACACTACAACAACAAAAAAATAGGAAGAGAGAAAAAAAATGGATAGTGAAGAAAGAGAAGAGAGAAGTGTGTATGGATATGGACTTGGAGCAGGGAATTGGAAATTAGATATATACCGTATTTTTCGGACCATAAGATGCACTTTTTTCCCCCCAGAAGTGGGGGGGGAAAGTCCCTGCGTCTTATGGTCCAAATATAGCCTACACATATACTTTAAAAAAAAGTTTTTTTACTTGCCCGGCTCTGTGTGGTCTCTGTGTGCTTGCCCGGCTCTAAAATGG